ATGACAGAGATAGAAAACTGAGGCAATTCATTTCTGAAAATCACCTCCCTGATATACAATAGGGCCACAATTCACATTATAGTGCCATCTACTTTAACTACCATGCTTTATGTAGCCTTTTCTGCAAAGAAGTCACCTATTCATGTCATTTTCAAGTCCACAAAGTAGACAGCATGCATAAACTCAGATAATTGTTCAGGTTCCTTTCTTTCTTGAGAAGTGTAATCAAGATTTCATGAGTTGATGTCAATACTGTTACTCACACAGAAATGATTTTCTAAGTCATGGCTGTAGCTAACACTATTTTGAGTTTCAAGTTATTTCCAAAGCATGTTATTATGACTTTGTGATGCAGAATCATGCCAGTAGACATATACTTGTATGATATATATAATATATCATACAAATGATGCATTAGGTTTTACTTTCCAAGACACGGACATACTTATGGTGCAGCCTCCATTTTCTTTTTTTAATGTACATAATCATACTTTGTAATATTTACTTTATATTTTATAAATCCTTAAAGTGATAGATGAGGCTCATTACTAGTCACTGTTAGTTGGTTGGATGCCTTCTGGAATGCTACATATAAGATATATTCTGCCAAAACATTCCCCACTCACCCCTGTATGAAAAGAGTTCGAAATATAATTTAATTCCTAATAAAATATACTACCTAATAAAATTTAATTTCTAAGATGAATAATAAAAGGATCAAGACCATGAATATAAACTGTGCTGGAAAAGTATTTGACATATAATTCATTTAAAAACAGTTGCAGTTAAAAAGGGGGGGATGCAATTAATCTTGGTGAGTACAGATAAGTGTCTATGGATTAGTTTGTCTTTCTGTTATAATAAAACACCTTGACAAAAGCAACTTAAGGAAAAAGGTTTGTTTGTATGTATGTATGTATTTACTTTTGGTCACAGTTCCAGGTTATAGTATGCGTTGAGTTAAGGGAGCTGGTCACATCTCATCAGTGAGTCTCATTGCCAATATTGCAAGATTGAGAGGTTCTCTTTCCTGATGTCATATAGATCCCAGAAGGTTCTACATTCATCTACATACTAATTCCTTTATTCAAATAGAGAATCAATCTTGTCCTTGGTGTCACAACATCCATTATTTGAAGATTTATTTCTATTTTTAGTGTGTATATGTGTGTCCATGTGCATGCCGTTTGAGTGTGGGTGCTCAGAAAAAGTGGTTGGATCCCCTGGAACTAGAGTACATATGGTCAGGAGCTTCTCAACACTGATGTTTCTGGATCCTCTGAAAGAACAGCAAGTACTCTTTAAAAAGACAAAATAAAACAAAAAAAAAACTTTTTTTTTTAATGTACATGGGTGTGAAGGTGTCAGATCCTTTGGAACTGGAGTTATATGTGAGCTGCCATGTGGGTGCTGGGAATTGAACCCAGGTCCTCTGGAAGAGCAGCCAGTGCTCCTCATCATTGAGCCATCTCCCCAGCCCCTAGCAAGTGCTTGTAACTGCTGAGCTGTCTCTCCCAGCTCAGCATCCATCTATCCACATAAGATAGATATCCTGTTGTGTCTGTCTCAGCTTAAGAGACACTAAGATATTTTCCAGAAATTTCCTATTAGACACTTTACCTTCTGAATTGTGGCATACAGTAGAGGTATACAAAGTTCTTATAGATGGAAACTCTTGTTTTTGTTCCATTTTTGATGGTCTCAGAGGATTGAACTAGGGTCTCATGCATGCTCAGCAAGTTCTCTGCCACTGAATTATATATATCGACCCCCTCTTACTTTTGTTTTGAAACAGGGTCTAAACTGCCTACTTTGGCTCTAACTTCAGATAGATTTGAACTTGCAGTCCTCCTGCCTCAGACTTTTGGATAGCTGTGATTATAGGCCAGCACCACAGGGTTCAGCTTGAAAACCGAATTTTGTTCCTCAGTCTCTCTGGAGTCTGGGTGATTTTAGGAATACAGGGTTTTCTTTGCTTTTTGCAATTTTCTACTTAGTGCTTTTGGATTCTTTATGTATTTCCAAATTTGAGTTTCTCAACATCATCAATATTAACTTAATAATTAAGTTACTTATGAGAGAAATGTACATATGAATCAAAATAAATGCTTTATATAATAATCTAATTAGAACAAAGGGGAACTATGCTCCTTGTAAAATAATCATGATTACTTACATATGTAAGTTTGTTGGCCAAACTCTAAGCATGTCTAGGCACTTAACTATGTCTTAAATCCAGATAAGTACATAAAGAGATGGTTATACATGTCTAAAAATCCCACACTTCATTTGTAGAAAGCACTGTCTCTTTAAAAAAGAAATTTAGCATTAATTTCTTAAAACACTGCAGTGTGTATATCTCTACAGAGATGCCTTATATCAGGAAGTTTTCCATTTCAGTCTAAACTGGGATTGACATTTAATTTTTTAAATTAATTAATGTATTGGTTCTTTTTGTCTTTGATTTATACATGTATGGATGCCTGTGTGTGAAAGCCAGAGTTGGACCTTGGGTGTCTTCTTGTATCACTGTCCACTATATTGTTTGAGAAAGGGTCTCTCAGTAAACCAGAAGCTTGCAATTTACAGCTATGATGGCTGGCCAGGAGCTCTCAAGATCTGTCTGTCTCATACTTCTGGGTGCTGGGTGCTGGGATTGTAGTCACAAATAGCCATACCGAGCTACTTGTGAGTCTTGTGGATTTGAACTCAGGTCCTTCTGCTTTCACAGAAAGCACTCTTACCTACTGAGACATTTCTCAGAGCTAAAATATTTTGATTATCATACAAAGTCAATATTTTGTCATCTAACCAATAATCCAAGAATGACAATGATTTCAATCACCCTTTATCGAAAGAACCAAACAGATCCAATTAAGCTTGCAAAAAAATAGAAGTCATGAGGGCTATCATTAACACAGACATGTTCAAGGAAAAGAACAATCAGACAACAACCTAATTTTCTATAGTGTCTCTCCATAAAATTTTTTATACCATTAGTCAGTATTTATGAAGGACTCACATGAGCCAGGCATTGCAAAAGTCCTGGAGACAGGAAAATGAAAGTACACTCTATGTTTTCAAAGAACTTAAATCCTAGTGCCCAAAACAAGAGCAAGAGGATTAGTTTAAGAGGAGCTTACTGCCCCCAGGGAAATTCCATGCTAGAACTGATCCTCTCAAACTCCCTTCCTTCTGCCACACCCAGCATTCTTTATAAAGAGACATTCTCTTGCAAAAAGAGATTGCACCTTTTATTCATTGAGTTCTTTGTATGACACAGTACAGAAAGGGGAACCAACTTGAACATAGCTGCACTTTGAGTTTGGCAACAACTGCTGCATTTAAAATAATGGTAGATTTTAGCAATATGATGTAGAAATTTGGAGGTATTAGTTGTGTGATGGTAGTGCACACCTTTAATCCCAGCACTCAGAAGGCAGAGGCAGGCAGATTTCTTTGAGTTTAAGACCAGCCTGGTCTACAGAGTGAGTTCCAGGACAGCCAAGGCTACACAGAGAAATACTGTCTCAAAAACAAACAAACAAAAAAACAACAAAAACAACAACAACAACAAAATAAGGAAGAAAGAAAGAAGTTGGAGGTATTTTTGTGCAAAGGTGGGTGAACCTTTGAATGTTGGTCACTCTGTGTAGGAGATATAAGCTCACCTATTAAAGGCATGAACTACATACAGTCCAGGATGCTAGTCTGGCCGATGGGTCACTAGACCTTATCCCACCCAGCCTACCCAAATTTATGTATCTCATCTCTCACACAATATCTGCATATTCTTGCTCATTATTGAAAGTCAATATTGCCCTAAGAGGCCTCTATGCTTGTGAAATACAAGGATAGTCAGTTTTAAGATTTCTTATAAAGGTAGATTAAGTTTGAATAAAGTGACAATTGTTGGCTTCTAGATTTTTGTGAAATAGGAAACTATATGATTTGGACAAATGAAATGAATGATGAATGCCATATAGCTACAATGTCAGAAATCAAGTTGAGGGCATATTGAAACATAAAAATGAAATTTAGAGACATTATTTAAAAGACATACCATAATGTGTTTTTCAGTCCCACTTTTGCATTATACTGTCAGAGAGTTATATTGTGTCACTAGTTAAATAGCTTAATAATGCTAAGACCTTCACAGATCTTTCCTGAAGTTCATAGTCCAGAGTTCATTACATCATCCTGGAGCTTCTACAGACTGATGCATGCCCCTCCCTAACTATGGAATCTCCTACTACAGTTTTGCACATCAAAGTCAAGAAAAAAACTTGACTTCCAAAAGAATATAACCTTCATTCATTATTAAAAATGACTTCAATAACAATTCCCAAATTATAAAATACTTGTGTAGAACCTATTTTGGATTTAATAACTAAATATGTGCACCTGGAATGGAGTTATAATAAACAGAGTGATGCTACTAAGTGGAAGATGCTAATTGGTAATGGCATATTTCAGCACTTAACAGAGAAGACGAAGAGAAATATTCACGTTAGCACTTTATGTTCCTGGATTAGCATTTCCCATCTATGGGTTACACAGACTGGACATATCCATAAGTATTTAATTAGCAGTTTTCTGTTCCATTTACCTTTTAGCTCCTGTAGTCACCAATGCCTAATGTTACATGCTTTGAGACTTACCTTGGCTGCTATGGTTAGCTACTAGTAGAAGAAAGTAAAATCTTACTTGTCTTAGAATTAGCAACCCTGAATCTTATTCATCAAGGAAATACTTTAAATGCTACAAATAAAATACAGCCTAAATTAACTCTATATAGATACATAATTGATTACACAGAGTCTGTATGTTATAGCCTGTAGAGCAAAGTACATTATAATATTTGCATAGAATTAAATTTTGCATTTGTGTTTCCTTTGTACTATTACTAGTCATAAAATGAAATACTACACAATTATACTTTCTATTTCATAAACATCATAAAATAGAAACTGAAAATATATTTTACCAGTAAGACAGACCTATCTCATTAAAGCCACTGTAGCCCAGCTCTTGCCTGCTAAGTCCCAGGTCTTCCAGGTCCATGCATTTAAATCCTGGGGGGCACTGGTAGCCTTCTTCTAGCTCTGGGGAGCAGTGTGTATCTGGGATAGCTAAGCTATTCCAGGTTACGTTCCTGTGGACAGCACATGAAAGTGTTAGATATTTTGATAGTTGTAAGTATTGATTGGAATAATCAATCATTTAATTATTCTTTACCAATAACTGCTATATATGGACACAAATTGAAATTTGCAATTTGTAAGTGGCATTCACAAGACATAAACCTTCTCAAATGATAACTGATTCATTCTCCTAGAGCATCTTAAAAGAATATTACCATATTCTTTCTGGGTTTTTTGTTTGTTTGTTTGTTTGCCTGTTTGTTTGGTTTTTGTTTGGTTTTGTTCTAGAGAGAGAGAGAGAGAGAGAGAGAGAGAGAGAGAGAGAGAGAGAGAGAGAAAGGGCAGTTGGGCAGTTGAGGAGGTTGTAAGGATCTGGGAGGAATTGGGGGAGGAAAAACTGTGGTCATAATATATTGTATGAAAAAAATTATTTTCAATAAAAATATATGTATTTAAATTTTTATTTAAAAAGAAGATTGCAACAAACAAATTAGTAGAGATGTGAAGGGATGCTAATTTGTATGGGACTTTGTCATTCAGAAAGCTCCTGTGCTACTAGGCAAACATTTTATGACTCCTCTGCTTTCAGTCAACATTAAGTGATAAAAGGCTTTTTTTTTGTATATTACAAATGGGGAATCTTATAAATGATATTAGACCTTCTGGTATGTTGATTCTTGTGAAATTTAGAAAGAGAACCAGACAAATAAAGAGAAGTTGAAGGAAGAAAGTCTATCATTTTGGCAAGAGAAAACTTAGGAGGTAGTTTATGGATAGCTCTAAGAAAACCAAAGTCTTTAAGATGGATTGTGACACATGTTTCTTCATCTTCTTATGGACAGGCAGAAAATTAAGTTACGTATGGATTTGCCTATGTGATGAATTTTTTCAGAAATTCTAAAGTTATTACCAAAATGGGATTGAAATTCTCATGCTAAGCCTTCAAAAATGAGCCACTGTACCAGGTGAGGTCACTTATGTTGACTGCGCAGAGGGCATAGTGTGGGCTATGTAACTCTACAAAGCTTCCAAACTAGGACTAGAGTCACTGATTTGGAATGGCTGTTCAGTAAGCTCCAGGAATCTCATATCTGCCTCTCCCAACCTGAGCTTAAGGCATTCTCCTCAATGCCTAGCTGTTTAGACAAATGTTGTGAATCCAAACTCAGTTCCTCAAACATCAAGCAGTTTATTAATTGACCTATCTTCCCAACACCTCTTTAATAAATGCTTCCAAGTATTGCTTCCTTCTTCTTATATGACACAGTTCTCTAGAATTTAATGGATAAGTGTAATCTCTTAACTGTTTGACACATGTATGTATATTGTTTTACACACATACACACACACACACACACACACACACACACACACACACACACACACACACCCCTAATGCCTGGCCCAATACCCAGTTATACTAAAAGCGTTATTGTCCTCACAGAGAATTCAGATACCACATCTTTACTCCTACAGAGTTTGTGCTTACCTGAAAACCTGCTATTTTGTCTACACTTCTCAGTGAATAAATGGTTAAACAATCATTCAGTCTCTAGTCACATTTTAAAAATATTCTTTGGATCACATTTGGAAAAAAAAGAAAAGCAAGGCTCTAACTGTGAAAATTACTACTTGATTGAGTCAGAAAATATGATTTTATGCAGAAACATTACTTATTTCTTTCACATCACATTCTCATTTGTAGACAAATGATTCATCCTTCTATAAGTCTAATCTGATGTTATTTTAGATTTGACACCTACAAAGTCAGTGCAGAATGGGAAATAGCCCTCAAGGTTTCAGAGTGAGGGTTTTTTCAGGCTTTATCACAGTTCTCCATTCACTAGTCATATGAAAAAAAAAGGGTTCTAAGGATCTCTAAATTCAGTTTCTTCGTTTGAGAGACAGGAATGCAATCCTAATGGAAAAGCATGTGTGAAAGGTACATAGAGTAACTAGGAGCCTAGCAATTCATATTATAGGTACTTAATTAACTGTGTCTTTAAAATGATTGTATTAATTACAATAAAATATAACATAAATTTCATCATATAAACACATTACAGTAAAGATTTGGGTGCATGGTCCCAGAGCACTTTGTTCATAGAACTGAGCAGCTGAAAGCCACTGTGTCTATGACCTAGTTTGTCATTATTTGTATTCAAGAAAGTCAGGTTGAAGGTCAGAGATGGAAAATGGACTAGCTGTGTTAGAGAATGCTTTCTGTCTATACAGAAAGTTTCTATAAACATCACTTTTCAGCCATTTGGAAAAGAAACTGGACTTGAGCAAGCCTACATGTGTATTCTGGATCAGCTGTCTGGCATGTGTAAAACCTCTCTGTGCTCCATTTCTTCATCTGGAAGAAAGTATTATCTTCCAGAATAAGGGAGAAAATACATGGGCTCAGTTATATGATTCAGGATATAAAATGGGCACTGGTTTAGTTGTCAATAACTGTCATTGTCAGCCGTTTGGCATATATAGACTACAGATAATAACTGTAGCTATGATGCATTTCTTTTAGCTGCCTAATTTCAGGAACGTGGCATAGAATTCACCTCCTTTGCAGAGAATTTGCATTTATATTTGATAATATACATTTCAGAAGAGCATTGGGAACATATTTATCACTCAATAATAGTTAGCAATTATGCTATTATGATTAAGTTTTCAAAATATTGTAGTTTGTTCCTTTCTGGTTTCCTTTCTTTTTCTGGCATATTTCATTGCTTCCCAATTTAAGCAGAATACTCCATAGCACAGAATTATTATAAACATTTATTTAGCTCTAGAAACAATAGATTTTAATCACTTCATTTTTCCTAAGAACACCATATTGCTATTTGTACAATATTTTTGCTGCATCAAAACATGTAAGTAGTATGTGGATTATTTAAAATATACAAGAGGCTATGTATACATTCTGTCATTTTATGTGAAGGACTTGACCATCAGGATCATTTACCTATCTACATATTTTTTAACCTATCTATAGGACAACCTGGAGCCAAATCATTATAATTATCAAGTAAATACTACATTATGTTGCATAGTTAGAGATAATTAAAGCTGTAAATATGATTAAGGTAAAACCTTGAGCTTGGATGATTATTCTGGATTGTGTGGGTGACCCATCCTAATCACATTAGCCATTAAATATGGGCAGAAAGAGATGTGACTATGGAAGAAGGATCCAGAGATCAGTGTAACTCTGTTGCTTACAGCAGGTTTGTCCACATTTCTTAGGTCATCCCCCTGTAATTGGCTTCAACTACTGGACTATTCTCTGAGCTTGGAATGTGGCTTTCCTTTCTTTCTGAGTGATTTTCCCAGTTCAGTGTCAACCAGTCTTTCATTGTTCTTTCATCTTAGATGTCTTCTTAGAGACTCAGAACCACATGTCCATCTGTGTATTAGACCTCTCTACTTAGCTGTACCACAAAGGCCTTCAGCCCAATAGGACCCATTGAGATCTCTGCTTCCTTCCCCAGAATCCTGTTTCCTAGCAAATGAATGCACTGTCTGAACAAATAAAGAAGCTGGAGAGCTTGGAATCAGCCCTGAACACTACTTGTACTTCAAGTCTGTAAGTAACCACCAAAAACCCCTCCTAAATAGCTGTGGTGATATATTGTATATCCTAATAAAATTTGCCTGAAGATCAGAGTACAGAACAAGCCATTAGATTAAACATAAAGGCCAGGCAGTAGTGGCACACAACTTTAATCCTAGCACTCAGGTGGACTCTATGAGTTCAAAGCTACCCTAGAATGATATTGACTCAGTCTAGGAGAGAAACAGGCCAGGCAGTGGTGGCACACGCCTTTAATCCCAGTACTTGGAAATCACATGCCATTAATCCCAGAATTAGGAAGGAAGTGATGCCTGGGGCAGAGAAAAGTGTATAAGGCATGAGGATACAGGAACTGAAGCTTTTTCAAACTTGAGGAATCCTAGAGGTAAGATGTGGCAGTGGCTTGTTCCTTTGTCTCTGTGATCTTTCAGCATTTATCCCAGAATCTGGCTCCAGGTTTTTTGTTTTTGTTAAAAGTCCATTTATCAATTCGGGTTACAAATATCTTAGGGGCTAGGCCAGTTCGCTCTACCTCTGCGTAGATTCGAATCAGTGCCTACTGTCCTCCCTGACTACCCTGCATCCTACTCTTGGTTCTTTCCTTCCACTTGGTACCCAGCAGACAGATGTCATTACAATTCTTTTGAGTTGAAAACTTGAAAATGATCAATAAGATCTAGGGCTTCCTGAGCAACAAGGAAATTATGGAGTTACGAGGACAGAGGAACCCAGAAATCTGGTTGAAGCTATTCACCAATAGAAAAGAACTCCAACACAATTAACAACTGCTTAAGGCCTTCTTCCTTCCCAAATATAATCCTACAGTTTTCTAGAAACCTCACCAGAAACTCCATTTGAAGGGAAAGAACATGTACTAACCCCCTGGGTAGCCCCAGTGGCTCTTGATTGTACTATATCAATTATAATTCCATTCATGGTATTTCCACAGATACCCTGCCAGACCACTTTCAAAAGAGTGAGAAAAGAAAACAAAAGTCTCTTAGTAACTTTTTAGATTTAACTAGAGAGCAACCAAATAAATAATATGTATCTAATGCAAAAATATTTAATTGTGCCTCTCACTTGAGAAGCTCACACTCACAGTTACTAGCTTATAGCTTACTTTCTGCTACTGTCCTTTGGAATGTCACTATCTCCACTTGGACACAGCTTTCTTCCTGAGTACCTCTCCTTCCCCTAACTCTCCCACTTAAAGGTTATATTAAAACATCTTTTATAAAATCTCCAAGTCTTCTTCATACTGGCTAGTCTTGAAATTCTTTTCTGCATCAAAAACACAAATCCTGGGTTTGCCTGATCAAGGTCACAGGAAGATAAGAGAACTCTTAAGGCTATTCAGAGTGACAATATAGAGCTATGTCTCTCTCTTATCACCATTAAAAGCCCCAGACTTCCAGTATCCTTCTGCCTAATTTATACTAATGGACCAGGGGGTCTAGCCATGGCCTTGAAGCATATTTTGACTTTCAGGACACAGCTTGAGTGTTCCTTTCTCAGTGATGCCACTCCTAAAATCTTGCAGATTGGGGTAAAATTCCCTGCTGTAATTTCTTAAAAGTCCCTCACTTTTCACACTTAATCCAAGGGCAATTCATATTTATATGGCCATTACTTTGTTGTATCTCTTCAAACTTCAGCTCTTCTCAAGTGTAACCTTACTTCCATATAGTGCTGGATACATAGTGGGTAATGGGCAAATTTCCCTTTCAATTTATAGTATCAGGTTGTTTGGTCAAACTCCACTCTAGATGCTGGGTCTAAAGTGTAATTTTTAGGTGTGATTCACTAGACTTTGAATAAAACATGTCAACCTCCACTACATGAGTGGACTTCATCTTACTAACCTTAAAGAGAAAACATTAGGGGCCTCCCAAGTGGAAGATTTTCTGTGTGCAAATGCCTGCAACATCAGCTCCTGCCCAGTTTGCCAACCTGACAGTTTGCTCATATGTTGGTCTGCAAATCTCCATCAAAAGAAATCTCATTTATATTCATATCATTTCAGCCAATAAATTTTTTATTTCTTGAGTAACCAATACATAATACATGTTTATAATTATTTTCTGAATAGATGAATGAATGTGTCTTTCAACCATTATTCAAATTTTTGGTGAATTTATTTATTCATTTGCAAAATAACTATAGAAAGAAATTCTTCAGTAAGTGTCTTTGTGTTTGTGTGCATTTTACTTCATTGCTATACCTACACATTGGCATAGATTTTCAGTGTTTTAAGTTTCTGGATTTAATAGGGCCCATGTTTCAAAATAAGTGCTGGAATCCCTCTGAGTATTTAATTATTTTTCCAAAGGCTTTAATTATCCTCCTGGCATATGCTTTTCTTTTTTTCTGAATTCTTAACAAAATATTCTATTTTCAAATAACACTATGTAGGAATTTAAGATCTAAGAACTTTTTTTCTGAGACTATTGCTAAAATAATTTATAAAAGCAACCCCAAATAATTGATCAGAACTTTTCAGCTCTATGCTTTTTTTTTTTTTGAGACAGGGTTTCTCTGTGTAGCTTTGAGCCTTTCCTGGATCTCGCTCTGTAGATCAGGCTCGCCTCGAACTCACAGAGATCCACCTGTCTCGGCCTCCCCAGTGCTGGGATTAAAGGCGTGCACCACTATCACCCAGCCAGCTCTATGCTTTTAACTTAAGCATTAATCTTAGTGGCACAGAACATTAAGCTGTATATAAAAAACCAAGAATTATCATTTTACTGCAGTGACTAGCTGACTTAACTACTTTGAGCAATGACACTAAGCCTTTTAGCCTAGGTTTCCTCATCTGTCAAATGAGAAACCTCACAGTTATTAAAAAGTGGGATGTCTTTATCCCACTTCCACATAATAGAAAAAAGGGTTATGAAGAGGCAGAGTGAAACCACATGCCCTGTTGTAGTTTCATTTCTGCTGCTGTGATGAAACAACCCGACAAAAAGCAACTTGGGGTTTATTTGGCTAAAAACTCTAGGTTACAGTCTATCGTCAAGGGGAAATTCAGGCAAGAACTCAAAACTGCTAGTCATCTAACATCCACATTAGAGAGCAGAGAGAGAATAAATACATCCTTGATGTCTGCTTGCTTAGCTAGTTTCTTTCATTCTTTTGTATTCCAGAGCCCCCTGCCTAGGGAATGGTGCTACCTACAGTAGGTTGGGTCAATCACACCCAAGATAATCCTCCAGAGACATGCTACGGTCCTACCTTATCTAGGTAATTCCTTATTGGAATTTTCTCTTCCTAGGTGACTGTAGGTCATGTTGATTTAGCAATAAAAACTAACTACCAAGGGTGTCAACTGGTGTGATTTAACAACCTCAAATGTGCAAGACTCCCCAATGCCAAATGCATAGTTGAAGGCTTTAAAGTTTTGCATTATTTATTGACTTTGGTTGGAGGAATATGCACTCGCCATAATGTGCAATTGAAGATGAGAGATAGTCAATTCACTCCTGCCACCATGTAAGGCATATGGATGGAATTCAAGTCATCAGGCTCGGTGTCAAGCAGACAAGTCCCATTAATTACCCATTTAGCAATCTGTTCGAATTTTTCCCTTTCTGACTTTCATTGCCATCTTTCTTCACTGATGTCAAACTACTACCACAGCTAATTATAATATGATTCGTGTTGGCCTTCTGTCACCACTATCACAAATGAGCAAATGTGTTCAGCATTATTCAGCCCTATTCAGAAATTGTTCATCTTTGGTTCTTAGTGGGGTCACTGAGTATAATGATCATTTGTTCAAGGTCTACTCCTGTACCACACTGCTTGTGAGGGATGGAGTATCTGGGCAGCTTTTCCTCTCTTGAGGACTTTGCTACCCAGTGTGAATGATAGGATAGAAAAAGAGGGGCCACAGGGCAGCATGCAGCTGCTTTCATAGCCATGGAGGTCTCAAGGAGGTTCTGAAGCACAGCTTAGAAATCCTACATGTAAGAATGAGGCTGGGCATGGTGGGTAATGGAAAAACCTCGATGTGACTTCTATGAAAATGTCAATAGGCAGTAGTCCTGGCACTAAATGTGTGTTCTGTGATATGGGAATAGAAAGCCACTATGTACGTAGGAGAGGGAAAGGGGGAACTAGAGGAAGGGGGTAGAGAAGGAGAAATTTATCACCCATTCACTGACATCTGTAGTTCTTCAGTGGTTTCTCAACTCAAGAAGTTATTTAAATATAATTTCTTGTATTCAAGCAGTAGTTATCACTCCAGGCCATGTTCAGTCACACACTCAGACACTTATAGTGTGAGGAACAGAGAGGGAAATATACTATCCTCAACTGGCACAGTGGGGCTAGTGCACTAATAACCCCATTGTAACTTCTCCCTGATTAAAAAAAAAGCCCAGGAGGTCAGAACCCATTGTTTACATGTCAGGCTGTCACAATATTTACTTACTAGGTTTTCAAAACATACACCTATGATGATCCTTTACAGATAACTATTCAGTTTACATTGTTAGCACTTTGACTCCCTGAAGACCTAAAGATACACAGGAAAATGTTAATTGCTTTAATTTAATTTAATTGTATTATTTTATATGCACAGGTGTTTGGCTTCCATGTATATCTGTGTACCAAGTATGTGCCTGTTGCCCTCCAAAGCCAGAAGGTGGTGTCAGATTTCCTGAAACTAGAGTTGCAGATGGTTTCAAACTACAACATGGGTGCTGGGAGTTGAACCTGGTTCCTCTGAAAGAGCAGCCAGTGCTCTTAATAGCTGAGCTTATCTCTCCAGCCCTAATGTTGACTTCTTAATTTCTCAAATTCAACTTATTTTTTAAGTCATTCACAGAGGTCAAACCGCATGTATTTCAGAAGTTGGAAATTCCCGAGAAGTTGTTAAAGTTGCAAAGGAAATATCTAATACAATGAATTCATAAGCAACAAAGATACTATACAACTTAGGGGATTTTTGTTATTTATTGTACCAGTAAGCTTTCTTTTATCTCATATATTTTATCAGTATACTTACATTACATTGTGGGTTCTAAGAAGAAAAAAAAGCAGAACATAATTATAGGAAGTCCATGTGAAACAACTACACACGTGTGTGCTTCTATGTTCATAGACACATACATACACACATACACACACACTTTTGCACCAAAGACAATTGTAAATATGTACTCTGATACATCATGTCATATTTGTCATGTTCTTAGGGGCAGGAAGAAAAGAATATTCATGTCTTGATGACAGCTGAGCCCTGAATATGAAAGTGGTCCTTGTCATTTACATGGGCCTACCTAGAATAGTTACCTGACTTTCCAGTTGAGTTCAGAGAATCATCTGGCTTCCTGTTCACCTCTACCTAGTCTCCCCATTGGGGAAATAATTTAAAAGCCATCTCTGAACTGGCCTGGCTTGTTCTCATGCTGGAAGCTTTGGAAAACTAATCCCACCCTGGAAAGCAAGGTTCTAATTTGCAGAGATAAATTATTTATTGATTATGACTTTTGGACTTTTAATGGAGCTGTCTAGACACAGTGGGACTGCAAAACAAGATAAGTCATATGAGTAGGAAATAATAGTGACATCATTTCTTCTTAATAAACAAGCAGATGTGGCATGTTTTGTAGGAAACAGTTAAACTGAATGTTTTGACATGAATTTTTCAATTTCTTTGTTCATTCCTAAATAGTCCAGAAGTAAAGCTATGGAAAAAGTTGAGTGTTTTCTCAAGTATTTTTACTATGAATATAAATTACAACACATTATCTAAAGACATATATTAGTCATCTTATTACCTTGTTACATCTGAAGTCTTAAACAATTCTGCCATTTCCCATGTTTGCTCCCCTACTACACTGTTGGCTACTGTGCTGATTTAGAAGAGATAGTGTATGACAGGAGCCAGGAGGCTGCAGCTGAGTCATGACCGTGTAAGGGGAAGTCATGAACAAATCAAAGTAGAAGCAGAGAAGGAAAGCATCAGGATGCATTTCCCAAGCAGGCCAGCTTCACGCTGCCCACGCATGTCTGCTCTGCAGTCACAAGGCAGTCTGCCCTTCTCGACCTGGTTCAACAGCAGCTCTTCTGTTTCTGCTTTGCGAACTAGATCCAGGGTGAGTCATGATAAAAGACACAAAACCTGTGGAAATGATACTCCAGCTTTATTATTTTTCTATTTTTACTCTTCTGTCCATTAAAGATCATCTTTTGTGCTTGCTTCAGCAGCACACATACTAAAGCTGGAATGATTCAGGAAGATTAACACGGTCTCTGCTCAAGGGTGTCATGCGAGTTTGTGACATGAAGCATTCCATGTGTTAAAAAGAAGTTGTGTTTTGTTAGCAGAATTTGTAAGACAAATTTAATTTTTTTCTTTAGTGTACTTAAATTCTATTTGGATCAGCAATATTAAATTTCCTCAAATCCAACTTTATATTTTTTCCAGCACAACTTTTTAATGATAATTTATAAAACACTGCCAGGTTCTATAAGCTGCCCCAAGGAAGGATGACCCTTGCAGAAGCTTCTTAGGATAAAACGTGAAGCCATTAGTAATTTCCCTGAAACAGTAGAGATAAAGGAGAATTACCCTGGGTATCTGTGGTGCATGGCACTTTACCTCCTCCAGCAAACGGTCCAGCCAGCACAAAGAAGCACCTAAACTCTTGGTTGAATTCTGCCCTCTCTATGAAAAAAATTTATATATTTAACATTTACATTTACTTGCCCTAAAGCTATTCTAATTGCCTCACTCCTGGGAATAGATTTCATTATTTTATATGAAAGCATGAATACATTTTTCCCTTCTCAGGGATAATGATAAGGTGTCAGGTAAGTATTCATCTTTTCTGTTTCACCTGCTGCTTCATATTTGCAGGTTCCCTTTTCAGCTTGCGGCAGATGTCTGCCACCACATTGGCATTTGCAGCACCTGTTTCTGCTGCAGGCCACTGCCCTTTTCAACTTTCTTTAGGAATTGAGCTGTTTTGCTTAGTCAAATCTCATTACTCTTTCCATAATTGCCTTAGATTGCAGTTCATTATCAGATAAGAATCTCAGCCTTGACTGGTAATGCTGCTGAAGACATGGCTAAGGTGTCCTTCTACATGCTTTAAAGAAATGCATATCATTTAAAAGTAAAAATTTGTGCAACTAATTACCTCACTCTTTATCCTTTTTGCCTCACAGATTAAACAAGATACATTCCAGAGTTCAGTGGTGAGACCTAAGACACACAGCCTTCTGTTTGAAAGCTTTCTCATTATCAAGAAGATAGTATGTGCAAGTTAATTAGTCTAAAGTCAGAAAAATTGTGGACAAAATAATGAGTATGAATCTAGAGATCCACACAGCAACATTGATTCCTTAAGCATAACCATAGCTATTGCTTGACTGAGACATGTTTTACTAGATAAAATGAATTGATACTGCTTTTATATGTGTACCTGTGTGTATGCATGTCCACATGTGTGGGGGCACAATGAGTGCTTGTGTGTGTGTGTGTGTGTGTGTGTGTGTGTGTGTGCGCGCACGCACGTGCGTGCACGATTATAGTTTGACATTGGGACTCTTCCTTGATTGTGCTCCACTTTATTCATTGGACAAAGTCTCTAACTTGAACTAGGAATTTGCCAGTACAGCTAGTCAGTCTAGCCAGCTTTCTCTGGGGACCCCTGTCTGTGTCTTCTGTGTGCTGGGATCAGAGGTATACCACCATGCCTGTCTGGCATTATTGTGGGTTCTGGGTATTAGAACGCTGGTCAAGTTTGTACAGTAAAGGCTTTACCTACTAAGCCATGTCTCAAGGTCAATATTAATGCTATTTTTAATTGACAAATTACAGCTGTGCTTTATTTTTTAGCACAATATCACACACACATACATAATGCATGAGTGAATCAAGCTAATTAACTATCATGTCCAATAATGTTTTTGTAGTGATATATTTGAAATCTACTTTCCAATTATTTTGAACTAACAATACATTATAACATGCTCATGTTGCTGAGGATGAGTTCTCAGAGCTTATCCTTCCCATCTGGCTGCAATTTTGTGTCCTTTATCAGCAGTTCTCTCTTCCCTCACCCTGCCAACCCCCAGTCTCTGATACACATCATCTTTCTTGTTACCTTCATAAACCAACTTTTCTAGATTCCATACATAAATGATGCCATAAAAGACATGTACATGTGCATGACTTTTTTCAGTTAACATCATGCTCTGTAGTTTGTTCATGTCACTAGAATGCCCTGGGGATGCTGTGAATGTGTTGCTCTAATTGATTGATAAATAAAATGCTGATTGGTCATTAGCCAGGCAGGAAGTGTAGTGTAGGTGGGATAAGGAGAGAGGAGAATTCTGGGAGGCTGAGTCAAGAGATGCTAGCCCACCGTCCAGGGAGCAGCATGTAACAGGCACAGAGGTAAAGCCATTGAACATGTGGCAACATATAGATTAACAGAAATGGGCTAATTTTAAGTGTAAGAGCTAGTCGTAATAAGCTTGAGCTAATGGCCATATAGTTTATAAATAATATAAGCCTCTGTGTGTTTACTTGTGTCCGAGTGGCTGCGGGACTGGCGGGTGAGAGAAATTTGTCCTGACCACCAGCAGGCTGGGACACAGAAAAACTTCAACTACAAGAATGAAAAGGAATTTTTCTTGCAACTGAATTTTCAGCTATCCTTTATGAAGTTCTTTGTGTTGACTTCTGTCTTCAAGATAATGGGGTGAAGTGGGCCCAATGTTTACATTTCAAGAGGCCTTTTAGTACAAATTTAGTGACAATCAGTTCTCAATTCTTGGCATACCACAGAGCTGGCCATGCAGACTCAATGAAGCAACTTACAGGTTTGAATTGAGGAGACATTAATGCCTCTTCTCAGTTGGTACTGAAGTTCATGCACTGTTTAAATATCATTCAAACTCATCCATGTGTATTTGTGTTACAGTTTGGTTTTCCAGAACAATACCTAATTGACAACTGTCACACCAGGACTGTATTTATATATTTACAGATATATATATGTATATACACATATGAATGTAACAATAATTAATGAAAAAAGAGGCCATGAATTTGAAAGAGAGGAAACAAGAGTATACAGGAGGAGTTGGATGGGAAAAAGGAGGGGTGAATAGCATAATTAAATTGTAATCTCAAAAGTAAAAGAAATAATTAATAAAATAATGCTTATTCTACACTATCCCCACTTCTTACTTAGCTACTTTCCCTGTCCCTCACTTTGGTAGCTATTATCTCTCACTCACACAATATTTTTTGGTATTTTCTCACCCACCTGTAGAATAATCTAGACATACTCAACAGCCTACTTTGAAAAATAAAAAGGATAACTACAGCTTTTCTTCCCTGTGTTTGTCTCTTGCCCACATAGCCAACTTTCCTATTCCTAACTTTCTTCAGTTTTCCTGCTCCACATGTTTAATAATTCACTGCTTTTCTCTGCTTTAAACATAGATTTTCTATTTTTGACAATTTTCCTCTCCCACATGTAGTGACTTACTTTTCTTTATTTGCTTATTTTCACTTTCTTGTCAGTTTGGGTTATGTTACCTTTATCTAAGTAAAATATTCTTTCAATCATGCCTTATATAAATAATTAATAAGTATTAATTCTGTGCTAGAATCCCAGAATTATGGATAAGGAGATGACTAAAAGACATAATGCATCCATTAAACGTTGATTAAATGTGGCCTTATTGACCTTGCAAAATAATGAGAAAAACAAGACAAGGAATAAGTAAGAGGAAAGAAGAAAGACAAAGTTGTAGAAGAAGCAATAAAGAGGAAGAGGAGGAGAGGTAGGAGGGGAAGGGGGAAGAAAGGAAGAGGAGGAGGAGGAAAAGGAGCTCTGAGTACCACTGGCAAGATGTCCTATATTGAAGTCAACTCCATCCATTTCAAACAACTATGTTGAATAAATGATTTATGCAACAGAATAATAGAGGATGAAAATGACTAAAACCCATTATATACATGAATGAAAACTTTAAAGAATACTAAGTTAACAAATATCCAAATACTATAATCTTTATTACTAAAATAATAAATAGTAAAAATAAAAATTTGGATACTTTCTGATGCATTATTTATGAATAAATTAAAAAAAGTCTGAAAAACTTCAAATAACAACATATAAGAAAGAAAAATTCATTCCCAATGCTAAAGCACAAGTGCGGAAGGAGCACATGGTAGGAACATCAGGAGAGTGGCTAGCAACACGGAGATATGAACAGGACTGGGCATGTAGGATCCAAATGAAGTAGAAGCCAGAGCCCTCAGTCTGAAAGATCAGGAGCTAGAAATGACCTTATGTGCAAAGCCACACTGTAACTAGAAAGAGTTCAAGTTCAGCATTAGCAGATAGTCAGTGAATTCATAGAACACAATGGAGACCACAGGAAAAGATGCATCTGCAGACTTAAAATTCACATAGGAAAGGGTGGCACCAGACTCAGCCTTTCTAAAAACAAAATATCTGTCAAACTTTTATTAGAAATAGTTACACTAGTTTCTATCTCAGTAACAGTGTCTAGGAGTTTCAGTTGTTTTCTGTTGTTCATGCTGTATCCCATGTCTTGCTGTGGGGGACAAAAACATATTCCATGTCTACTGGTTAGTTTGTTCTTCGTGTGTGTGTGTGTGTGTGTGTGTGTGTGTGTGTGTGTGTGTGTGTGTGTGTAACAGTGAAATTCAAGCTTTTGATTAGGGTCTCTGGCCAACTGTGCCAAACTCACTTATTTCCAGATTCCTTCTTAATTTTAGCTCTTTTCAATGAGCTCAATCCCATTCTTACCAATCTGGCCTTGTAGTTAAGTGGCTCATATTACTTGGGGGTGGGGTTGACATTTGCTTCCTTTTATTGCCAGTCTAGGAAAGAAATGAAGCACATCTAATTTTAAATAGCTTCATGAAAATATCTATTGTTAATAAGACAAAAGCTGGCTAAACAAAAATAGATTATTTTAGACTTCAAAATCTAATTTTTATTATGAAGGGAAACTTTAAAAGGTCATTTTCTTGATTCACTACATACCCGGCCTTCACCAAACTTAACTCAGAAACAATTAGAAATGTGTAACTATAGAAAGGTCAGTTAATCAGAAAGACAAAGACTCTTTGTGTTCATTCACTTAATTAGAGTTTCAAGTTAGAGAAAGAAAAAAAAGCGGACAGAGCTAAAAGAGAAAAAGGAAATTCCTGTCATATTAAGAAAACATGGTGATGCTATTTCATAGTTTGATGAAAAGACTGGAACATCACCAGCTAACTTCACCAAAGCATCAATAAAATTACATGCAAAAATTGAGAATTCTCTAATTCTCATGCAATGTCACCTATTCAGACTGTATATCACTCCTCAAAATGATCCTTAATGAAACTCTTGTAGGGATTTTTATCTAATTTTAATAGAATAAAATTACATAGCAATGTAAATTACTGTTTTTGAAAATCTCTCACTCAAAACATGCTTCTTGCCTTTAATCCCAGCACTCGGGAGGCAGAGGCAGTTGGATCTTTGTGAGTCCGAGGCCAGCCTGGTCTACAGAGCGAGATCCAGGAAAGGCTCAAAGCTACACAGAGAAACCCTGTCTCGAAAAACCAAAAAAAAAACCATGCTTCTTACACAACCTTCAGGTCAAGAAAGATGGCACAAGAAAAATGAAAAAAAAAAAAACATTTGGATTAAACAGTTAGTAAAATGCAAAATATCAAAATTTGAAGATGTACTTAGAGAGGAACTCTGAAGGAAGGGTATGTCTTTAAGACCTTATATTTAAAAAGAGAAATTCTTAAAGTCAGTGACATGTTTCATCTGAAGAAACAAGAGAAAGAAAAGCCTAGAAAACCAACTGCGGCAAGAAAGAGTGGGAAGAGAAATAAAGAACCGGGAAAGCAAATAATATCAGAGAGCATTAAAGAAGTCACACAGCTTCTTGCATGTGAGAGAAAAGATGCATAAACTAGAAAGTGGGCCCTAAAGGAAATAAAAATAAAATCACTAATATGGGGATTGAGACATGGCTAGTTCCAACAGATCCAACAGCTATTAGAAGGATACCCAGGAAGTATTTTATAAACATTAGTCCAGTGTTACAAGCTACAAAAATAAGTAGGTCTGTGGAAAACAAAATTTGGCACACCCTACAGAAAAATCAAATATTAATATGTTGGTTATATTTAACTCATAATATGGAAGTCTCCTCACCACTCCCCACACCACCACAATAAACAAAACTTCAGACTCAGAGAATTTCATTCATGAATTTTACGAAAAAGAAAGGAAGGAGTCTATCAATCTCATATTCATCATACTGTATGGGCCACACTAGTTTGATTCCATGGGTTATAAATGAATAGAGTATGGGAAGTTGGGAGGGTGATGAGTTTAGAGGGGCAGCTGGCAGGCAAGAGTGGGGGTGGATATGTATAAAATTTTCAAAGAATAAATAAAAGTGTTTAAAAATAAAGTAGGAAGAAATATTTCCCATTTTATATGTGAAGATAATATTTCCTGAAAACTAGTAATGTTTCTCGTGAGCAAAGATATAATAATGAGTTCCATAAGTATATATTATATATAATATGCTTATATATAATTACATACAAGCTTTTCCATGTCAACAAAGACTCCATAAAGTGGTTAAATAAAAGATGAATAGAATTGTGATAGTGGAGAAAATAATGTATTCAGAAGACCAAACTTTATTTATAAAATGGGAGGGAGAACTGAGTAGAACTAATTACCCCAGGCTGTCGTCCAATATCCACAGGCATGCCATGGCATATACATAGCCCCACACTCACACATATGAATAAGAAATAAGGATAAAAACATAAGCATATTTGCTAAGAGGTTTTTGATATTTAACATATAATCAGTGAAAATACATGACGTTTTTGCAAATTACTGTGTCCATTTTAATTTTGAAAGCTCTGTATATGCTTTCAGAAGACAATCTATATACAAGTCACAGAGGAATGACCTGAGCAATTTACATAAGCTCAGAAAAAAATGCTGAAATTGAATCAATTCTATCATTATTTATATAATATAATCATATACATAAGTAAATATTCACATGGATTCATTTAGCTGTTCATCTTCTTTTCACTTATACAAAAAATTTCTTTTATGAAAAATACTCTCCAAATAATAAAAAATCACAAGAATTATAAAAGCTGCAATAGTTTTAAAATCCTAGCTATTTGCAAATAGATTTTTTTTAAATTTATTTTAATTTATTTTGCAATATAATTCAGTTCTACATATCAGCCACGGATTCCCTTGTTCTCCCCCCTCCCGTCCCCCTCACCTTCCCCCCAACCCCCCCCCCATTCCCATCTCCTCCAGGGCAAAGCCTTCTCCACAGACTGAGGTCAACCTGGTAGACTCAGTCCAGGTAGGTCTAGTCCCCTCCTCCCAGGCCGAGCCAAACAATCCTGCATAGGCCCCAGGTTTCAAACAGCCAACTCATGCAATGAGCACAAGATCTGGTCCCACTGCCTGGATGCCTCCCAAACAGATCAAGCCAATCAAATGTCTCACCCATTCAGAGGGCCTGATCCAGTGGGGACCCCTCAGCCATTGGTTCATAGTTCATGTGTTTCCATTCATTTGGCTATTTGTCCCTGTGCTTTATCCAACCTTGGTCTCAACAATTCTCGCTCATATAAACCCTCCTCATTCTCGCTAATTGGACTCCCAGAGATCCACCCGGGGCCTAGTCATGGATCTCTGCATCCAGATCCCTCAGTAGTTGGATGAGGTTTCTAGCACAACAATTAGGGTGTTTGGCCATCCCATCACCAGAGTGGGTCAGTTCGGGCTGTCTCTCGACCATTGCCAGCAGTCTGTTGTGTGGGTATCTTTGTGGATTTCTGTGGGCCTCTCTAGCACTTTGCTTCTTCCTATTCTCATGTGCTCGCTTCGGCAGCACATATACTAAAATTGGAACGATACAGAGAAGATTAGCATGGCCCCTGCGCAAATAGATTTTTTAACACAAATAAAATGAGTCTCCTTTAAAGTTTAAAAAAGTGCTGTAAATTCATATTCTATGATTCCAATTGAGATTTTTCTTAAATATAATTTGTGAGTCTTTTGTTTGTAAATAGATCAATTCCCGCTTAAAGATAGGAATAGGAGGCATAAAATCAATTTCTGCCCTACATTGTACAGTTACAACTATTGAACATCTGTGGACTGAACTTGGACTCCCAAACTCTGATGCCCAGCCCACACCAGGGCTGTCATGTATGTCCAGGGGCTGGCAATCAGCTCTGCTCTTTCCCCCGGTCGTAGTGACGGTTGTGATGCATGAGATCAGGCCCTATGACACCATCAGTCACTGTGTCACTCACATATTGTACCTGAATCACCATTCTTGTAATACATGGATGAAACAGATAACTATCCTTTATCTAGAAATTTGCTGAAATCAGCCAGGAAACTGTTTTTAGGAACAGATGACCACTGGTATTAATTATAAGAATGAGGGTTTTATTTTCCCTAACAATCTAACACCATGGATATCTTCCAAAGTTTTGTAAGCCCACTCCCCATGTGGATACTCTCAGGAAGGTTTGTCTTTGTTTAATATTCTTTCCCACCAGGTTATACATTTTTGATCAAGCTTGTTGTAAACTTTCGGCTCAAATTTGGACAAAACAATGCTAAGTTGGCAAAGAATAAAGAACACAAAATCCCCAAAACTCTGATTTTAAAGCATTTGACAATTTAACACACACACACACACACACACACACACACACACACACACACACACACAAAGTGCAGAAATGTCCTTGTTAATCACCTAGATTTAAAGTGTGGCTAAGTGTGGTGATATAAGATTTGTGTTACAGCTAAGAAACTTACCCCGGCTTTGTGTCATTCACAACACAGTGGTAAGTAAATGTTCCAAACATTTGAACTCCTAAAATTCCATACAGAAGAAGGAAAAAAAGGAGGAAAATTGAAACACTCCAAATTTGTTCTCCTGACCGCCTAGGGAAAAGAGCAAAGTTAGATAAGATATATTAAATACCCCAAAAAATTCCATAAGTATTCCTCTTAATGTATGCACCAAGCTTACTTTAAAATATTTGTAATTCTGGTCCTTGGCAGTTCAAATCGGAAATAAATCCTGAAAGCCCGGATCATAATGAGTGGCCGTGGGATCCGCAGCATGCCCCAAGGTGACATCTGATCAACTATGTCAGCTATTTCAAACACCTACAGATGAAGAAATGCACAAGCTTAGACTCCTCTTAGTGTTGCTTATTGCAGTGGAATGGATAGTAACACAAGAATGTGCACCCTGTACCTACACTGTATTTCACCAAGAATCACATCTCAACACTATAGCTACCCTAAGAGAAACAAATACATAAACTAGTGAAAGTGCCCTAAATCTCCACTTTCTAGTTCTTCAAGCCATAGTTCTTTTTTAATCATAAAATAAAATGCCAACCTTTGAGCTGTTTCTCACTTATAGTGTCTTTGACTTTCTAGAAAACAAAAGAATAGGGAAAATATTAAAATATTATTAAAATATGGAAAATGACCACTTACTTCCTAGCAGAAGCAAAATAATCACAAAAATCTGTTCACTTAACATACAATAGTTTATTAAATGGAAAGGACACATGAGTATGAGAGGTGAAATCAGGTCACAGAAGAGGTGCACTTCATAAAAATGAGGAAGGACAGCTAATCAACAGCCACCATGAAGAGTTGGAGAGATGAAATTCACATTTGTATCCTAAATTTTTATTATTAATTAATTAATTGTGTGTGTGTGTGTGTGTGTGTGTGTGTGTGTGTGTGTGTGTGTGCATATACGTGTGTGACAGTGCACAGGTAAGTGCCAGACACAGCCTGAAGGAGTCAGGTCTCTCCTTCTACCATGTAAATATCAGGGATCTAACTCAGGAAGTCAAGCTTGGTGGAAAGTGCCTTTAGCTGATGAACCATCTCGTCAATGCCTGTTCTGAATTTTTTAAACAAAGACTGGAAGAATAGGGATCTGACTTACAATATTCTACTAAAAGCTAACAACAATGCATTGATCATTTAATTTTTGTTAGAAAGGTAAATCTCGTGTTGGTTTCTCAGTAAAATCAAACTAAAAAAAAAAAAATCAAATCAGAACTAGAGAACATATTACCTGTACTTAAATGTAAAATCATGCCTGAAAGAATCTGAGACTGAATTTATACTATTTCCTAGTAAAATGCTCTGTAAAAGCTTCTTATACACACTTTCTATTTATTAAAATAAAGCATTTATATTTGTAATGCTCTTGGTGTTGTCTAATATCTATCTCAATATTAATAGTTTCATCTGTTTTTAGTGAGGATTTAGTCCAGAACTTAGAATTTACTAAATTCAACTTTTGATTTAAAAAATTAGATATCTCACTTCAAATCTTTTATTATATTTCATTGACAATATGTTTGTAGTTGTTTCATAAGGAAAAACTACCTTTGATATTGATTTTAATTTTTGTGAAGAACTCACAATTGTAATCAACAATAATTTAAATGTTACAAGTAGAGTTTTCTATCCATGAACATGTAAAATAAACAATATATGAAATATAAGAAACACAACCACATTTTGAAATATATTCTTCAATGTTTCTAGATAAATTTTGAATGAAAACTAATGCTCACTTTTAAAAACATCTCTTTGCGATTTAAACATATTTAATTACCTGTAACACAAGGGAAACCCAAAGGCAAAAGACCATGAATCCATCAAAAACACACCAACGATCCTTCACATAGGAGCTATCACCCTGAAAATAAATTCCACATGGGTTGTCAGGCAAAATGAATTTATATATGTATATTAATTCTGTGGTTGGAATAGTCAAAGCTAATTCAGTACAAACCATTTACAATTTTCATATCACAATAAAACAGAACTTCAAAAAGAGTATTTTTAGCACTTCAAAATGGCAATTTTTTAAAGCAAATAATTGACGAGATGGGAATTTGCAGAATTCTGAATTCAGGACGTTAAAAAGAAAGTATCTATTTGTTCTCTTAGCCTCACAAACCTAACATGTAGTAATAGAGGGCAACTAATCATATCAAGTCCTAAGGCAGCTTGTCCCCTAAGGCCCAGAGCATGCTATAGGCAATGAGGCCTTTAAAACTGCTTGACCACCCACTGCTAGTAGGAAAGATAACCAGGCAGTAACAGTGAAGGAGAAAATTTCCTTAATTTGCAAAGAAAAGATATATTGACTTTAATTGGGAAGTTATGGTGGAAGAAAATGAAGATTTATTGCTTTCATTACTAACAGGGACTCTATCCTGAGGTCAGAATGTGTATTTCAATGAAATGGGATTTGAAACGAGAATTTCCCTCTGAAATAACAAAGTGTCAATAAAAATGGAGGGCAGACACTACCTGGGCTTTTGGGCAGAAATCGTCATACTTGTCAAGGAGGATATACGTTAAAGACCTGTCTCTCAGTTTGTATAAAGGTAAACAGTTGAAGGCTGCCAATCAATTATTCAGTGTAAGAAAGTATCTAAAAGTGCCTTGCAAATACTTAACAAGCAGAGACACCAAATGCATTTAGAGGGATGTATTTTGCAGTCAGAAATGATAAGCGATGGTAGCTTCATGAGCGTGTGGTTTGTTGTACTAGCTTCCCAGGGTCATTCTGTTAGTATATCTTAGCATTGTTAATTATTGCTCCAGCAGTGTTCAGTAGATGCATGCTTATTATTATTATTATTATTATTATTATTATTATTATTATTATAATATTTTTATTTATTTATTTTGTTTTTGTCACTCTGTAAACCCGTCTGGCCTCAAACTCACAGAGATTTGCCTGCCTCTGTCTCCCAACTGCCAGGATTATAGGAATGCCACCACCTTGCTGATGCATTCTACTTTTATCTAGATCTATTGCCAGATAAGAAACAGACAACTGAGATTCATTTGAAGAATTCAGATTACAATACATGGGATGATCTTCAGTACCTCAAATATACATCATTTTGATCGGTTGGCTTTTCCTTTAGAGATTTAGTCAACAGGAATACTTCTGAAGAGAGGCAATTAAAAACCTTCTCAGGTACAAATTAGATCCTGTTATTCATGGATGAAAATCCCTCACTGGTCTTCACTGACCATAGTAGGAAGTCTCGGGTCATGCTGGGCCCTACCAGAGGCCATCTGACTCTACAAATCCTTGCCAGCTTCTGTCTGAGCACAGCCTACCTGTCACTTCCAACTCCTCAGGCCTCTCCTAAGTACTAGCTGCTCCATGTATGTGTGTGTGTGTATGTGTGGGGGGTTCCTTTTCTCCCTCCGCTATGCCCTCTACTGCACTTCTTTATCTTTCAATTTTCCTTTTCTTTCTCCAAGAGCCTTTTGATATCCTACAAGTATATTTTTCAGTTTCTATCTCTGTGTGTATGTTTTTAAATATGTAAATACATCTTGCTCAGTCTATATAATGTTACTTGTATGTACCTGTTTTTAGGGCTGGCCATTTAAAAGAGAGCAAGGAGGGGTATATGGGAGGGTTTGGAGGGAGGGGAGGGGAGGGGAAATCTTGTAATTACAGTATAATCTCAAAAAGTAAAATAAATAATAAAAATTAAAAATGAAACAGATATTCATAACATCACTCTACATATGTAGACAAACAAGCTTCAGCCCTGTAAGTGAGCAAAGGCAGCATCCTTTTGCAAGTTGTGAGTGAGAACTGCAATGGCATACTGCTGGCAAGTGAATTAAAAAGGAAAAGTTTTTAGCAGACAGCTACTAATTAACATTTTTAAAACTTTCACAATTTAACTGAAGACAGCAAAGCAATTCACTTGAGAAATATGGGGTCTTCCAAAACATCTCTGTGGACAGATATATTTTTATTTTGATGTTTTTATCCCTAAAAATGTCTGTATTTGTCATGCAACTGTAAAAACAAGACAAATTCACAAACATAAAACTATAAAACAATAAAATTTATATTAGTAACATTAATTTATTGTGACAGGTAACCTTTTTGATAACATCGAACTTCATTAAAACTATCATTTTACAATCAAGAATGGAATGTCAAACCCAACTTGTTGTCTTATATAATATGAATGCTGAAGAATAAATAATGAAGTTTGGAACTAACATCAGAAAATCAACAATTGGCATCACTCACTTAACTGCTACACTCTAATGATCAAGAATCAAGATAATGAAAAATACTTAAACTTTGGTTCAGGACAATCAGATCTCAGATTTAACAGAAACTTCAGCTAGCATTTAAACACAAGTTTTAATGAACTGTGATGTTCTGACTACTTCAAGATAATATTAGCAATGCAGAATAATTAAAGTTGACACTACATGTGCATCTATTCTAATTATTCCTAATTAAAAGCAGAAATACACTTATCTGGTTTTCATTTTTAATTTGTCATTTCTTATAGATTGAAATCAGAAAAATAGTTTTTGAGTTTAGCAAACAGTTAAATCAAATACAATATATAAACCTGTGTGAGTCCTGATTCTGAGAAAGCAACTTAAAGATATTTATAACAATCAAGGGAATATGAACATCAACTGGTAGTTAACCTATTTTACAAATTACTGTTAATTTTGCCTTATACAATGATGATGTTTTTGGGAAGCAAATGAAAAAATTATCAGCACTGCAAAGGAAGTTATTTCTGAAGTGAGTTAGAAGCTCAGATTTTCTTTAAAATGAAATATAGCTGTTCAATTATTGATCTTTATGCAGGCTGTGATTCATAATTTTATAATAAAACATTAGAAATGCATACCACAATTCATTGGCTATCATGATTCTCCATTAAGGACAGTGCCACAATGCATGATGGATAAAGAGAAGTGAAGACAAGAGAGTGACATTTAACTCTGTGTCAAGAATCATTTTATTAAAGACTCCCAGTCCTCGCATGGGGTCTCACATGCCCCGGAATCTCCCTAGTATGTAGGAGACAGACTTTGAGTCAATATGTCATTTGTCAAGCCTTAAAGCCCACACTATACCACTCTCTCCAAATGGGACAATGTAAGCTACTCCTGGAACAGCATCTTTTCATATTCCTAATCTCTGAACAGGTTAGTGCTATAGAACCAAGATCTTATGGCAAAAAAGTCTCTCTTTTTTTTAACTTTTATTAAAAGTGTAATTTATTTGTATTTCCCGAGGGTACCAATCAGATGTACATATTCTTTTCCTTGCAGTTCCCAGGATTCTATATCTCTCAATTCCTCTTTTTATCCTTTTATATGTTCGAAACATCCAGGTTTATGAAAGCCAGCTAAATGCCATCATGCTCTGATTATATCATGTGACATTTATCTTGTGTTCGGTACATCAACAAATATTAAAGTGCCTCCTTGAGGGTCCATAACCATTATAGGTCATGGCTTTAGCTCTAGATGGCACAATACACTCAACCCCTAGACTCATGAAACATATACTTAAAGCAACTAGCTCTTTTGCAGATATTCTAAGGCTTTGTATCTTATAAAATGCAATTAACTTTTAAAATATTTTTTCTTTATTAAGATTTTTTTATTCATCCCCCTCATCTCTCCTCCCACTCCCTCTCCAGCCTTCCCCCGCAAGGAACTCCCCCATTCCCTACTCTGAAAAAGTAAGGCCTCCCATGGGGAGTCAGCAAAGCCTGATACATTCAGTTAAGTATTTCTACCAATTTTTGGAGTCATGCTCTTTAAAAATTTCAATCTCAATAATATAAAAATGCACTGTAATTTGTATTACTGAGTTGATTAAAATATTCAATGTTCTTCGTTCATTAACTTAAATGACAAGAAAACTCTCACCTTGACAATACCCCGGATGTGCATTTTTGCTATCATCTCTGCAGTATAGAGAAACATCAATAAAGTGTCCAAGGTGAAGGTCACATACTGAAGAGGAGGATAGTGCTCGAAGGTCATGGGTGTGTTCATGCACACTGAGATGACACTGATGATGGCACAGATGCGAAGCAGAGAGTGTACCCACTGCAACAAAGGCCAAAGCTACTTTGTGACACTATGAACTGAGACCTTTGACTGGTCTTTGAAAGCACACTATTTGGAAGACATAACACTTTGGTTCAAATAGATCACTAGTGCAGAGGAGAAGAAGAAGGGAACATCTACTGAGTTCATAAGGCACACTCAATATTTTCACACATTTTATAATGCTTATTTCTCAAAGCAGCTCATTTTCCACATGAACATATCAAGGTTCTGAAAAGATTATGAAACATTCCTGTGATTATACATTAATAGGCGCTAAACCCAAGGTTAATTTGAAGGCAATCAGACCACTCTGTGGGAAATTCTCATTCTCTACATAATATAGCGACTCACCCTCAGTGAACTTGGGTGTGACTTTTCTTTCTTTTGTCTCCATGAAGCTCCCAGAATTAGCAGCCATGTCCTATTTACTAATACTTCTTCAGCATCTTAAACAATGGTCTATCATAGCAGATCATAAATTATTTTTTAAAATGGATTTGATATAGAACACTCCTATACAGGTTTTTTAAAAAATACATCACATATAATCTCCCTACATAAAAGACATTTCTGGGCCACTGAGATCCCTTTTGCCATACAAGCCAGGTTGGTGATTTGTGTTCAATCCCTGGACCTTATTGTTGAAGGATATAATAAACTTCAAAAAGCTGTTTTCTGACCTCCCCCACACACACCACACATACACACACACACAAATAAAAATAAATTTTAAAAATTCAAAAATCATTTCTAAAATAATCATTGTAGAAAAAAGATAATGAATGAGGCTGTCTCTTTTCAGAGAAAACATTTTGTACATTTAGCCTACAATCTCTTTTAAAATTAAATTTTCGCAATTATAGACACACATTGATGAACTGTCTAAAGATTTAAAATAACCCTAAAATAAGAAGAAAGAAATAAAAACAAATGGGTATATATTTAATGTACTCACATATAATCTTTCATTTTAAAAGTAATGCCTAGGATGAAAAGGGTTAGTTGTATACACATGCTAAACTCACAGAGTGAATATTGCTACTGGATTACTCAGTGCACAATTTTTAAACATAATTAATGTCATTTATTGACTATATTTTGGATATACATATGAGTGTATCTGTGTGTGTGTGTCATTATATTAATCATTAATTTTATACTCCTGTTTCAGGGGTATAGTTTGATAATAGATGGATCATGCATCTCTATAAACTAGCAAGCCTTAAGCTGAAAATTAAGAATGACTGACAGAACTTTGAGAAGACTGAAACTCTTGTACGTTGATGAGTAGAGTCTAATATTTTCCCAAGCATAACAATATTTATATAAAAACATAGTGAAAACAGAAGACACATATACTTCATTGTATTTTAAGAGTTGATGTACTGAAGTTTTCAAATATGAAATTTGACAAACCCCTCCAATAAATGTCAGAATGCAAATTCAACCCTATCTGGACTCCTCCAGATAAATAATCTAATTACCAGGAGATTTGAAAGATGGGCTATTTTACAACAAATAGGCTTTGAGCTTGAAGAATTATAATTAATCATTAGTCATTTTAGTCAGAGACTCTGGGGTTACACCTATAATTCCACCTTTCAAAGTTCTTAGAAAGTTTTTAATGGCCTAGACATAAAGAGAATGTTAGTGAGAGGTTTATTTTCTAGTAAGTTTAGTTCCCTAAATATGAACAGAAGACCTACTATGCATCTAGAAATGCTCATGTCTTGGGATATATATTAGCCAATACATTACTAATTTGTAGTATAGTAAGCAAGATATTATACATGACATATGTAGTTACCTCTCAATATCTGTCCCCACATCAGAAGCTCAAATACGAGGGGGCCTGGGTACATTCAACAAATGGGCAATGTTTATGCATTGCTTACATATATTCTCTGATATAGTTTAAATCATTTTAGGATGATTCATAATACTTAAATTTATTTAAAATCCTATTATACCGATCTGTTTCTGAAAGAATAAGAAAGAAAAATACATACATGTTCATTACAGATGCAAGTTTCATTCAAATATTTTGACTCTGTGGTTGGCCAAAATTGGGTACAGAATAGAGGGACAAATGTTTCTGTGAGTGTCTACATGTCATTTATATTTATAGACAAATCTAAATTGGATAAGTGAAGAGAAGTTCATTCGATCTATTTGAGGAAGTGGCAAATGAGGAAGATGTAAAATCCAGATAGACCTAATGGACAAGGAGGATTTAACTTACCAACAGAAATGAGATGGGACCTTGAAGACCAGAGCACATGAGCAAAAGATACCAATACTGCTAAGCTAGATAGTATAGGAAAGCAGAAGACTCCAGTAGATGATGTAGAGACACAGGAAAGGGGTGGTCACTGGCCAGGAGAGAGCCTGCTCACAAAGAGCTGTCCATATAATGCCAACACATTTTAATTTATAGTGGGAGTCCTAAGGATGCTTCAACAGTATAAAGCAGAAGGATAATGTCAACAGAGAGTGCAATATACAAAGACCTGTGAGCAGGCTATGGAAGTCTTCCAGGAGCAGTCTAGTAAAACTCAGGGGGAAGCCAGCCTGACTACCTTTGTCCAGGTTAGGGGAGGAGCAAGCATTGAGAGTATCTCAGCTTAATTTGTTTCATTACTTCAGCATTTACAACTATGATTTTAAGAATGAAGTCTCTCCTACTTTGCTGTATGGAGCTGAATTCCCAAGACTTAAGAGTGAGCTTCCTGGCTCAGTCCCAACCACTATACCTTCTAACATGCAGGGATGTATGGCATAATAATTCTTACTCTCATGCTCAACATGCATGAACTTGTGAGATACTAGGCACATGTTCTGTCACAAGATTTAAATCAACATAAAGACTATTCAGAAATGGACAGTGTCTTGCAACCTTTTCTACCTAAGTAAATTACTGTTGAACATGATTTTTTTTTAAAAAAAAGCATATGGATAGGAGTAGTAAGTAGCTCATCTTGGGTCAGCCTGGGAGTGGAATTATCTCTACACTGTGTGATTTGAGGACAATGTATCCAGAGCAGTGAAGAGACCAGAAGGCACAGTACAGACCTCTTACACTGTCTGTATCTTCCTATGTGAGGAATTCATAGCAACACCTCATCCTTTCAATTTGAATCATTTCCAACCCAACCACAAGACTCCAAGACTCATTCACTTTCCACTGTAGCTCAACCATAGTTCAAACCTAAAAGTACATGAGTTTTGAATGTATGAATGAAATTTCTCTTATATCAGCATGTGCTTTTGCAAAATTCAGAAAGATGACTTACTGGCTTATTAATCCAAAGTATGTCAGCGTTGTCTGACAGAGATTCATCAGGACCAAAGTCAGTAACTGGCTGAGCTTCCACCCTGGAGCTTTGTTTCCTTTTGAGCATGTTGAAGTTAGCTTTGGAAGGCAAGTACAAAACCAAAGTCTGGAAAAAGGAACAGAGAAAACTTTATTAGCCACCTAACCTACCTCCTTTCCTATCAAAAGCATTGAGTCTTCATACATGAGTAGTACACTGGGAGATCATAAATGTACCCAAAGGTACTGTATATAACAAACACACATATCTAGACACAGAAAAAGAATGAGATAAAATTGATATTGATAAAATCCAATTTTTTCCTTCCAATCCAAAAGATTACCTTATTAATTTCAAAAACAGTTTAGAGACAACTTGTGTAAAACAGCTGGAACAAAATTACTTATCTCATAGGGAACACAGATTATTAGAAAATTCTTTGCTCTGTGGAGCTTCTGCCATGGCCCTGCCAACAGGGATTTCTTCTATCATTTTAATATGTCATTCACATGCATGTCCTGTTCCAAGCATAATCCTAAGATGATTTCTCATTTTGTCCTCCTCAGAAAGGATGAATGGCACAGAGAATAGGGAGAGAAGCTCCAGCAGTCGGAGGCCTTTTCTGTTATTTTTAATCAGTAACCATTTAAAGTTTCCTTGCTCTTCTAAAGTCAGTTCTTTATCAACTGCACCTGAAGATGAGATGCTGGATTGTCACCTGTTTCCACAATTCCACATTATCTACAACCTATTATATATGTCACCTCCTTATGGATATTGCTGCTAATTTCTAAAGTTAGCAGCCATTGAAGAAGGGACTACTATATATCAAATGACAAGTAAATGTAGCATGATTAAAGAAGAATTGTCAAGACAGATGCCTGACCACCCTTCATTCCAAAGTAACACTCCCCATTTGAATAACACTATACCTAGCCTTGTTTATCTGTTTCTGGTTTTTCAGACAGGGTCTCACTCTATAGATGTGGCTTGCCTGGAACTCATGTAGATCTGGCCGGCTTTGAAACTGTGGCCTCCTCCTTCACTTCTTTGCAAAATAGTATAACCAGCACATTGGGTTCAACATTTTACAAATGTGGCCACACAGTAAGATGTAAACACATTCTACACTTTAACAAGGAAGAAGGATCAGATGTGATTGAGTCTTAGGTTGACCTCAAAGAATCAATGATCCTGTTGCCTCTGTCTCTCAAGTACTGGAGCCACAGAGTTCACCAAAGAAGTGCCTTGATATTTTGTGCATGCATAAGAAATCTCAGCTTTGAGGCTAGTGACAACTTGATCAATAATATTTAAACAAACTTGAGATTGAAAACAAGTCCATGATTACAAAGCCTCAAGTGTTGAGTGTTGGCCATGGGTGTACTTAGCATCCTTAGGAGGACAACTGAAGGCAGACGACAGAGGGCAGTACTCTGCAGGCAAGAGAAAGTGATGAGAATTTCAAGTAAGGAAAATGTAGCCATTTCGATACCAGGAATATCCACCACTTTCTCTCTTGCCTGGTGCTCCAAAGTGCTCTTGGTGTTTAAAGAAAATTCATCAAGGACAGTGAGTAACATTTAGCTCCTCTTAGACAGAAGAGAAAAACAAAATGTGTTTGCAAGGAGTGTAGATATATGCACTTGTGATTTTTACTGGGAAAGAAAATAAAATACAGTTCAGAACAAAGAAATTTTGAATATGCTTCTCTGTGTTTGATGGTCCACTTCTCCTTGCTCTTTGCTATATGCTCCCCAATCCATCAGAGTAGCTGACTTTCCCTAACCTTCCTATTCCCAGAGAAATTCAAGCTATTTGTCTTTAAAGTGTGCAATGTATTTCCAAGCTGTTGTTACTTTGAACACAGAATTTAAATATGGGTTTTGCAGTAGGTGTCACTAATTAATTTTATTTTACATAATTGGAGTTAGGGACTCTTGACATCCAATGTAAATGTATGCAAAATATTCAAATGATACTTATTCTCTGATTTACTTTGGGTTGGAGAACACATCTGGTGTCCTTAATTTGAGATGTCTCTTAAATGACAGGCTCCTACTTATCTGAAGAATGGTTGCAAAATATTTTTGAAATTCTTTAACAAGACAAAGAAAGATGAGAGTGGTTCCATATGGCATTCAAAGATTAGACAAAGAATTTTAGAGACCTAACCCTTATCGTTTTTCCACAGAGACAGGGGAGATTGATGGACATGTGAATTGCATGTACCTTTTCTTACCAATATTCTACCTGAATAAAAACTGACTTTTGACTGATTTATCTACAGAAATATACATAATTTATTTTCTAAAAATCCAGTTGGCTATATTTGATACATCAAAACAGTTAGACTATAATTGAATGACACCAGCTGTCTGTCACTCTCATTGATGTTCTGTTCAACTGCTGCCAACATGTTACCAAGTCTGACAGTGCCCATAAAATGATCTGTCCAAGCTCCAAAGAATCCACACATACATTAAAACTTATCAAGCAGCTCCAGAATCACTGGAAGTTTCACTATTTCAATAATATTGAGCAGTACATAAAATATTCAAGCAATAAATCATGATCCATGCATATAGGACTCATAGAGACTGAGGCAGCATGCAAAGGGCCTGCACAGGTCTATACCAGATGGGAATTCTAGAGCTAAAAGGAGAAGTGGACATATGCCTCATCCCTTACCCAGAAACTGTTGTTTGTTTTTGCTCTTTTGGGGGATCCATCACTGTAGCTGGAGTTTTCTCCAGTCCTGCCCAGGCCTGCAGCCACTCAGACCCAAGTAAACACACAGAGACTTATATTACTTATAAACTGTATGGCCATGGCAGGCTTCTTGTTATCTAGTTCTTATATCTTTTTTTTTTTTTTTTTTTTTTTTTTTTTTTTTTTTTTCAGTCTCATAACTCCTCCTTTTATTTATAATTTTTTAAACAAAATCCCAAACCTAGTTAGAGGAACCCAAACTTATACAATTTCTATAACCCATTTCTATTAATCTATAAGTTGCCATATGGCTTGTGGCTTACTGGTACTTTTACATCTTGCTTCCTCTGTGTCTGGCTGGCAACTCCTGACCAGCCTTCCTGTTCCCAGAATTCTCTTCTCTCTTTGTCCTTCCTATACACCACCCAGCTCCCAAATAAATCCCACACAGAGGTTTATGCTTAATTATAAATGCTTGGCCTTAGCTTGGCTTGTTTTTAGCCAGCTTTTCTTAACTTCAAATTATCCCTTCTACCCTTTGCCTGTGGGATTTTTCCTTTTCTATTCCTGTACACCTTTCTGTTTCTTACTCTGTGGCTTGCTGTATAGCTGTATGGCTAACCCTGATGTCCTCCTCCTTCCTTTCTCGTTCCTTGATTTTTCTTCCTTCTCCCAGGTTTCTCCCTTTATTAATTCTCTCTGCCTGCCAGCCCCACCTATCCTTTCCCCTGCTTTGCCATTGGCCATTCAACTCTTTATTAGACCATCAGGTGTTTTAGATAGGCAAAGTAACACAGTTTCACAGAGTTAAACAAATGCAACACAAACAAAAGTAACACACTTTAAAATAATATTCCACAACAAGAAGCAATCTCGAATTGATAACCATTTGCAAATAAAAGTTTAATTTCTTCCAAGGGAGGCTCACTGGGGAAACAAAGTACTCTCAAGAGTAGGCTGCATGCCCAGCAGGAGATGGCCAACAGAAAACAAACTCAGTGGTATCTTTGGAGGTTCCTTGTCTCATAATGTTGTTTCAGGGCTTTTCTATTTTTAAAAAAATATTTTATTATTATACCTTAGATGCCTGTTTGTTTTCTAATGAGAGATAGAAAAGGATGGATCTGGATTGTGGGGTGGGGTGGGTGGAGGTGAGGAGGAACTGGGAGGAGTAGAGGGAGGGGAAAACCATAATCAGGGTACATTATATGAAGAAAACAATCTATTTTCAATAAAAGGAAAAATATTCAAGCAATAAAATAAATTCAAGTCATAAATGTACAAATAATCTCAGATTAATTTAGGGCAGTTAGTCAAAGCAATTTTCCTTTGCCCTGGGTGTTGCTTGACACCTTTGTTCATGTTCAGTCAATATAACAGAGCACAGACAACTATTATTCCCCTGATAAAGAAAGAACAGTGTGGATATTTAAGTTTCCTAGGTGAGCTTTCTATTTTGATGGAAATTGCTTCTGTGTATTTTTTCCTTATCAGTATTATGCACTAATAAGCCAATATATCATTTTTGTTTCCAGAAGTGTCCTTGATAAGGCAGTGTACTAGGTTTGAAAAACATGACTTTCAAAAGCTTTTTCACACTTATTAAAAGTTGATATTTAAATAATTCAATATAGGGAGAGGCTGCATAGTTACAGTATGTTCATTGATAAATCTTTTACTCAGAAATAGCTAACAGAAACTCAGAAGGAAAACATATTCTGCTTCCTTGTTCTCATTAAATAGTCAATTAATCCTTGGAAGCAAAAGCCATACATTTTCCTCATTTGATTTCTACCCTCTTGTCAAAATTAAAATGGAATTTATCCATTTTGTTTTTAACTGTGAGGTGTTTGCAACAGTGCTATTCATTTTTCCTTCTAGGAGCTATTGGACATAGGATTTGAATTTTTCTGTCTTCTGCATCATGTTTTATGAGATTGTCTTCCTCTACCTATCCTAGTTGCCATATTTAATGCCTTCAATATCCATTACCCTCAGCTAATGTCTCACTAACACTGAGTCTTGTGCCTATGCTGTTTCTCAGATACAGGGCAACAACATAGTTCAACTTGATATAATTGACTGTGATGGAATATCTCTCTCACTCTTTCTGCTCATGTTCCAAATCCTAGCACCCTAAATACTCCAGGTCCCAACATGTAGCTAGAAGGACCACACAGATTCATGCTACACCTCAACAGTGCCATACTTTTAAAATTTTTATTTATTTTAATTTGATTTGTACATATGTTTTATTTGCACATATTCTGTATCTCACATGCATACTTGGTACCCCCAGAAAACAGAAGATAGTGTTAGATATCCTGAGACTAAAGTTACAGATGGTTGTAACCCAGTTGAACCCAAGTCCTCTGAAAGAGCAGCCAGGGCTCCTAACTGCTGAGCTATCTCTC